GGTAGATCACCGGCACTTTTGGCCGGAAAAAACAGATCACTACCTGTTCGAAGTTGGACATGGCTGGACTACACTAAAGCCTTTGATTGTATGGACCACAACAAATTGTGGCAAGTCCTTAAAGAGATGGCAGTACCAGACCTCCGCACATGTCTCCCGAGAAACCTGTATAAGAGTCAAGAAGCGACAGTTAGAACTGGACATGGAATGACTGGTTGGTTTAGAATAGGAAAAGGAGTACAACAAGGATGTATATTGTCACCCCGTTTATTTAATTTATATGCAGAGTACATCATGCAAAATGCTGCCATGGATGAATCACAAACTGGAATTAAGATTGCCGGTAAAAATATCAACAACCTCAGATATGTAACTCTAATGGCAGAAAGTGAAGAGGACCTAAGAGCCTCTTGCTGAAAATGAAAGAGGAGAGTGCAAAAGTTGAAACTCAACATCAAAAAACTTGTGTAAACCGCTCCGAGCCTACGGGAAGGAGTGGTATAGAAACCAAATAAATAAATAAATAAGATCATGGCATCCGGCCCCATCACTCCTTGGCAAATAGAAGGGGAAGTCGTGGAAGTAGAGAGAGACTTCATGTTCCTGGGATCCCAGATCACCGCAGACCGTGACAGCAGCCATGAAATTAAAAGACGCCTACTCCTTGGGAGGAAAGCGATGGCGAACCTAAACAGCATGATAAAAAGCAGAGACATCACCCTGCCAACAAAAGTCCGCATGGTCCAAGCAATGGTATTCCCAGTAGTCATGTATGGCTGCGAGAGTTGAACCATATGGAAGGCCGAGTGCCTTTAAGAGGGGACTTATTGGGGCCAGACCCAGCAGAAACCACCAGGTGGCTTGCTACCATCACTCACCCAGGCCTGGCTACCTGCTACTGTCCAACAAAAGCCAAAGTTGTGTAGCGGTTGTGTCAGATTAGGATCGGGGACAGCCAGGTCCGGATCCCCATTCTGCTGTGGACGCTTGCTGAGTGGCCTTGCACCTGCCACCTACTCTCTGGTAGGCTTGTTGCCAGGGTAAAAGGGAAGAGATGAGAACAGTGTAGGCTGCTTTGGGTCCCCACTGCAGAGGGAGGCAGGGTATAAATCCAGTAAATAGATATAGCTGAAGGGGGGGGGGTGTCTTCAGATGAAACATGGGTTGCTTGCAATGCTCCCTCTAAGCTGTGGGGCCTTGTGAGCAAAGATTCTACTTTGAGAGCTCCTGGCATTCAAGTTGTGTGAGCAATTGGGCTGCTCTGGAGCCCCCTCCTTTTCCTGAGCCAAGGGAAATGTGTGAGCCCAAGGCTAAAAAGCTGTGAGCTAGCTCACACCGACTCAGCTGAGAGGGAACACTGGTTGCTTGTTAGGTGGGGTGAGCCAACCC